GGTCATAGGGAAGCTCCATGTTTAGCAGTTTGAGGAACCTCCAAACAGTTTTCCATAGTGGTTGTACTAGTTTGCATTCCCACCAGCAATGCAGCCTAGTCCTGTGCTTTTAACCTGCTGCACCACCAGGGAAGCCCGGGCTTTTCATTTTTGCTCAGCCTTTACTACATTCTTCTATGATATTGTTTCCCAGACTGTTTCATCACCAAGAGGGGTGACTTGTCTCCAAAACGGATGGTTCAGATTTGGACCCAATACATGTATTTCTTGGGAAGCCTAACATCAAGGCCATGTTCACTTAGCCCAGGGAACAGGCTCAAAACTGATAAATTAGTTAGAAACTTTCTTTACTGTAAGTGGTAGAAATCCATCTAGAGGGGTTAGAACAGTTTTAGGGTAAAGGGCACATAGAAGAGAATCAGAATTAAGGGGAATACTCTCTCAGGCTGGTTTATCATAAGGTAACTGCAAACATGGGGCTTAAGTGAGGAGATCAGAATCTCATCATCAGTAATCAAAACCAAGGGACTAGGGACTTTGCCAAATTTGAAGTCAGGCTATTTGAAATTCAAAACACTTACCTGTTTTGGCAATGGGTCTAGAAGTCTACAATCATATTTATAAAATATTAAAATAACAAATATTTGAATCTCTAACAGAGCAAACCACCTGGAAAAAAAAAAACTGTTACTGAGTTGTAGAAGATGAATTATTATCTAACAAAGTACACATATTTCAGAACAAATATACTTTTGTCTGTAATAAAAACTTGTGTCATTAAAGGGATAGAGTGACGAAGAACTTTACTTGTTTCTTTTATAATACACTCTATGGGGTAGTTGGAATGAATAAATTACTTTTAAATGCATATAAAACTCCTAGGTAGTAGAAACTTTCAAAAATGAGAGCCTGGCTCTCCTAAGTTTCAGATCTGTGCTATCCCAGGATAGCTATTTAAATTTAAATAAGTTGCAATTAAACAAAATGAAAATCTTCCTTAGTTGCTCTAGACATATTTCAGGTGCTCAATAGCCACTGGGACTATTGGCTACCATATTGGAAAGTACACATTTAGAACATCTCCATCACCATTTAAAGTTCTACTAGGCAGTTTTTTCTGATCGACAGCCTTACTGCCCACTGAAAATTACTGCCTAGTGTTCTATAGATTCTCAATTCCCCATAAAACCAAATTTATTCTTCCTTTTGCAGTCCTTCACCCTGATGTTTCTAAGTGTTTCTGTCTTACTCCCCTGACAATAAAATGCTCGAGCACATACTACAATATATTTATATTCACTTCTTAAGTCACAGCCAGACTATTGAATTAGATTGTCTGTCTTTTGCATAAGACATATTAAGAGAAACAACATTTTGAGAAGAGTATAAGTATAATTATACCTTTCCCCCCTTGCATCCTTGCAGGTTGTTTTGAGTTCAGAACCCTGTTAGGGCTCGTAGCTCTTAATGAATACAATTAGTTCAACAAGCTAAAAAACTGAAAGTCATTTTAGACAAAATCCTCTTTTTCATTATTCTTATCCATCAGACCCAAGCTGTTCAGTTTTATCTTCTAAATACTTCCCTTATTGCTTGCCTTATTCTTTTACCGCCAGTCCTTTCACTACTCCCTCAGTGTAGTTCTTCACCATTTATTTCTTTTAGAATCAGTTTAGCTTCCAGATTGGTTTAGAATTAATTTAGCTTCCAGACGGGCTTCCTTGTGTCCAGTTTCACTTTCATCCATTTAGTGCTTTACTTTACCATTGAAGTAATAGAATCAACTTCCTAAAACACAGATCTATCACTCACTGTCTCCTTAATTTATTGAAGAAAATGTCGATACTTTCCATTTCTTCCAAATGTCAGAGGAGAACACAGTCGGACTTTGAGGGTGTGCCCTTTCCCTATCTCCTTATCCTCTTCTACCCAGAACTCATCTTTGAAATACATGTTCTTGCCACACAGCACATGTGTCATTCCCTGAAAGGTAATGCTTTCTGTTGCAAGCCCTTTTCCTGCCTGTGGATTAATTTCCTTTGGGGATTATAAACTATGATATCCACAAACAGCAGGAACCATGTTTATCCATCTTTGCATCCTCAATGTTTGTTGATTGAATGAGTGAATGAATGAATATGAATGATGTTATTTATATCAGATAATGAGAGATATTCCCCACTGATATTCTGGAAACATTCTGGCTATATTTTTATTTCAAATTAAATCTGAAACACACAGGTGTTGTGACAACTCACTTGGATACCACATCAATTCTTCACAAATATTTATAATGCAGATTTAATTCTACTTGCTTGTAAATGCTAAAGATAATTTATTCTAAGAGAGATTCAATGTCTATCAAATAGAACACACCCAGCCTTTGCTGATTCAGATCAAATTAAGCAGCAATTCTAAGAAAAAACAATTTTTCCTAATTTATGTGCCAGTTCAGATTTTCTCAAAACTTACTTTTCACTATACTTCTAACAAATTGAAAAATCTCACTTCTGGCCATAATGGAGTAACAGAAGTCAGTGTTATCCTTCTGCTCTACATGATTCAAAAACAGGACAAGATAAAGAGTGTAGCATGAAAATCCCCAAGAGAAAGGAAAGAAATGAGGTAAGTCCTATGATCTCCAGTTTACCAACTATGGAAGTTTCCAGGCCACACAGCAAGGAGGGAAAATCCACAGACCTGACAGTCTCACTAAATTATGGAGATAGAGATGAAAGTTTAGGCAAATTAAAAAGACTAATATTTGCCAGGGAGGAATGTTAGAGAGGAGGGAGTTTCACAGGGAGAACAAGGATGCTTCAAAGCCTACACAACAGTCTCCTTGAGTTTTTGGCTGATCACTGACTTACATAGGATTGAAAGGAAACTACTGAGGTAGATAAGGAAGATGAAAAAGGAAACTAAAGAGCCACAAGTTAAACAATGCTGAGGGCACAGACTGAGTCTGTGTTCCCACATAAGAAAGAGTAGGAGGTGTCAATAACACACACTGCGTAAAGTCCATAAAAGGTTGTTAGTATCAGGATTATATTATCTTCAGTAAAAAGCCACTCTGGGAGATTTGAAGAGAATGAAAAGAACAGCGTGACTTATAAAACAATATCAAAAAGTATAGTGTACATTAAATTTGAAGATGCAGAAAGGTAGACAGAAAAAATACCTGAATAATAGCTGCAACATTTTCAAATTTGTGGTAACTATAATTGATATATCAAAGAAGGTCAATGAACCCCAAGCAGAAGAACCATAAAGACAATCATTCCAAGGTAAATCATAATCAAACTGCTGGAGTGACAGAGAATTCTTAAAAGTAGCTTGAGAACAAAGATACAAAAAAATAAAGAAAAACAAAATTAAAAATCATCAAAGTTCTTATTAGAAACCATAAAAATCAGAAGACAATGGCACAACTTCCTTAAAGTTTTGAAATAATAGTAATAATACTAATAAACTCTGTCAAGGTATGAAAAAAGGAGCTAATGTTTTATTATAATACACTAACTTTACTGTGAGAGAGGCTAGTCTTAATTATTTGGTGTAAATATTTATTTCCTCTTTATGTGTTTTGAACATACCCATATAATTGCATTTTTAACATTTAAATGCTTTTATTGTGTCTAATAATCAAAGTGGCCATATTCATCATAAAAGTCTATGTAAGCTGTTCATAATGTGATAAAAAAATAAATTGCCATATTTTAAAAACTCATGATAGAGTATAGAGTGTCCTGCGTTTTATAGCTAAATAAATATACCAATATACATTGGTTCCTTTATTATTCTCCTATGGGAAATTATTTTTTTCTTATTTGAGGAATTTCAATTCACTAGATTTAAACTCACAATTGTCAATTTTTTAATGCCCTGTTATCTTGTGAATATATATATCTTAAAGAAAATGAAGATTACAGTCTTTGGGAGTGATCTGAAAGACAGAATCTGAAGACTAAACATTTACACAGAAGTTCAGGGAACTGGGCACTGGGAGCCTGTGCCCACCATCATCTGTTTTGAAGAAATCAAATCCCAAGGACAGTGGTAGTCAGTCCTGCTGAAAACCCTCTGGTTATTCTACACTTAGACTTTGAGAAATATTCTAATGGAAGAAGGGAGGTGGATCCTGCAGTGAAATCAGCTCTTTACGATCAGATGAGACTAAAAGAAGGGTGTCTGCTTTGCAGTTAACATGCGAAGAAGACAAGCCTAGCCCACATGTAGAAGTTAATGGCTATAAATATAGGTGGCTTTTCAGTGAGGTGCTCAATCTAAAATACTTTTCTCCTGCATAATGGGAAAAGAACTATTTTTAATGTGCAACTTTAATATTTACCTATCTACATGCTAATTTTTGTTGTGTCAAAAATTTCATGAAATCTGGTGTACCTATGCTGTCTTGTGTGATAGTACAGTAAGAATAAAGAAATGATAAAATGGCAGGAGGTGTGAAAAGCCTCACTTTCACCTTTTTGCTGAAGATAGTGTGAAAGAAACAGCATGTCACTGTCAATGAAGAGTTGAGTGTGATGCAAAAGTTATAGAACATTAAGGGTCAATAGTTTTATGGACAAACTGGGTGTGAATTTAGGACAACCACCTTTTTTCCATCCCTTCAGAGGGATCTTAGAAAAGAATAACATTTATGGGACCAGTGACCTGACACTTAGATTACACACTAGGAGTTCTAAAAATAAGATGAGAACACTCTTCACTCCTTCATTCATGAAAATACTCATTGAGTGGCTTTACATGATTAATAATACTCTTCTAGACACTGAAGTTACAGCAATAAAGGAAAAAAACATTTTATGGTTTTATAAAGCTTAACTTTTAGCTGAGAGGTAGTAAAAAAATGAGGAATGCATATATCAAGCACAAGAATAAAAAGTAAATCATAGATATGGGGAAAGGGAGTGATAGTAGTGGGAGCCAACTATTTTAGATAAGGCCTCTCTGATGAGGTAACATTTTAGCGACTACTGGGATAGAGCAAGAGTGAGTTACCTGAATATGTGAGTACAGCATTCCAGACAGAGAATTAAAAGATACAAAAACCCAGAGGTAGGAGAACAAGGGGTAATGAGGAGGGTAATATTGCTGGAGTTGTGTAAAAAAAAGAGGAAATGACTGAGAAATATCAGAGGCATGTAGGAACCTTGTGTCTCATGTTTAAGACTTTGTTTTGTTCTGTGAGACAGAAAGTCACTGGGTAGTTTTGAGCAAATATGATTTAGTTTATGATTTAGTTTTAAAAGGATCATTCTGGCTGCAATATGGAGAATATAAAAGATGATGTGAATGGAAGTTAGCAGACTGATTAGAAAGTCATTATGATATTCCAGACAGTAAGAAGTGACTTGGGCCAGGATGACAGAAATAATCGAGAACCACAGTAGAGACTGGGTGTGCTCTGTAGGATGAGATGATGAATTGTGCTTGAGGCATAAAAGACAAAGCTTCAAGGATGACTCCAAGTTGTTGAGCTGAAATGCAAAGGGCACAGCTGCTTTTACCTCAGTCATGGGGAAGATTGAAGGAAGAGCAGGTTGATGAGTTGTCATCCAGAGCTCAGTTAAGTATGGCTTACTAACAAGACAAGTAGGGATGTTGAGCAGAGCTGGGTAAATGCATCTGGTGTTTAGGAGGGATTT